TGACAACAAGCGCGATTATTCAAATCCAGCCCAAGCCTTCACTACAGCAGACGCATACTTTGCCGAGTACAAACTTTGCACTCGGCAAAGAGCTGTCGGCATATCCCTTCACGGCAAAAGCTTCTTTGCCGAGTGCCGCCGCATGTCGAACACTCGGCAAAGGATTTCCTGAGTGCCACGACGGCACTCGGCAAAGATTTACACTCGGCAAAATAAAAATGCGAAAAAATCAAAAATAATAGCAAAAATTTTCAAAAAAAAAATTCAAGGGAGGCCGCCACCGGCCAGCGCCCGCCCGTCTTCATCGAAGTCGCTGCATTTTTTGCGCTAAATTCATGGCTAACGCGGCTGGCGAGATTTGAACTCACGACCTCTTCCTCGCGTGTCTGCTGTTCTACCACTGCACTACACTGTCACTTGTGTCTAGATTCCGTTATCTATCCTCGTATATTATACTAAACCAATAATAAATTGCTTGTTTGAGGTCCTAAACGAATTCAAATCAAAAATTGATCAACTACAAAGTTTCATAACTTTTCGAGATCTACAATTTTCATTTAGGAAGTTTTTCCATCCGAGGTCGTTTGAAAAATTCAAATTTTAAATTTGAGAGATTCAAACGTAGTTTCGTATGATAAGATGATTTCAAATTAAAAAGTTGTCAACTACATAGTTTCATAACTTTTGGAGATCTACAATTTTTATTTAGAAAGTTTTTCCATCCGAGGTCTTTTGAAAAATTCAAATTTTAAAAATTTCAAATTCAAACGTCATTTTTGTATGACAAGATGATTTCAAATCAAAATGTTGACAACTACAAAATTTCATAACTTCTCAAGATCTACAAAGTTTATTTTGGTTATTTGTTCATCCGACATAGTGGTAGTAACATTGTTGACAAATCTTATATATCTCTCTTCTACTTTCATGAAACTAATATGAGAGATGTAGATTTTATGAACAACGTTATTGTCGCTTTGTTAAATGAAGAAATAACCAAAATAAACTTTGTAGATCTTGAGAAGTTATACAACTTTGTAGTTGAAAAGTTTTTCATTTGAATTCATTTAGGGTCTCAAAAATTGCTTTGAAAAACTGATTTGCCGAGGGCAAAAAAAAAATACACACGGCAAAATGCCTCTTTGCCGAGTGCCAAAACAAAGGCACTCGGCAAAGACGCATTTTGCCGTGTGCCGAAAAATAGCACTCGGTAAAATACATCTTTGCCGAGTGCCAGAAAAAAGACACTCGGCAAAGACGCATTTTGCTGTGTGCCGAAAAATAGCACTCGGCAAAATACATCTTTGCTGAGTGCCAGAAAAAAGGCACTCGGCAAAGACGCATTTTGTCGAGTGTTTTTTTTTTTGCCGAGTGTATTTTATTTGGCACTCGACAAAGACCGTCTTTGTCGAATGCCCGATAAAATACACTTGGCAAAGCCTCCGACACTCAGCATGCTAGCATCATATGCCATGCTTTAACAAGCTTAAGTCACCAAATTTATTTTCTAGCTTTACTCTTGATAGCACAAGCGGCCACTTCTGGCTGGACTTCCTTTTTTTTTTCTAGCTGGAGCAATATTTTTTCTCACCAAATTCCTGCTGCTACAGTATTTTCAGCTGCTACAATGCAATTTAATGCCAGCCGAACAAGCTCCATAACTGGCCACTACATGCATGCTGTTGGAAATCTGACAACCTTTTTTTTTACAACAGAAATCTGACAACCTTAAAAAACATTTGCATGCATACATACACCTCTGTTTACAGAGAAATCACATAAATCAATCACTATCTAGTACCCTCACTGATTGGGTGCAAACTTGATGATGTAAAATGCAGTTACTTTTGAGTACTTGAGGCCCATTTCAATGAAATCCAGAATTTTTTTTTGTTGAATGTGATTGTAATATAATATATTGATCCGTTACTTGGGCAAGATGAACTGATAATGTTGCAAATAAAAGCAAATCAGGCTAGAGCAATCCAGAGAAAATGAAACATGAAATCTGACAACCTTTTTTTTGACAACAGAAATCTGACAACCTTAAAAACATCATGCATGCATACATACACCTCTGTTTACAGAGAAATCACATAAATCAAGCACTATGTAGTACCCTCACTGATTGAGTGCAAATTTGATGATGTAAAATGCAGTTACTTTTGAGTACTTGAGGCCCATTTCAATGAAATCCAGAAGAAAAAAAAACTTGTTGAATGTGATCGCAATATAATGTATTGATCCGTTACTTGGGTAAGAAGAACTGATAATGTTGCAAATAAAAGCAAATCAGGCTAGAGCAATCCAGAGAAAATGAAATATGAACTCCTGTTGGTTCTTTTTTTATATATATAAAAGAACTTTTAGCTTTGAGACAAGCTGCACGCAGGCCCCATACAGTACGCCTCACCACTGCCTACTTCTTTCTCTGGCAAAACAACGAATTGAACAAAGTGGCTTTCTTCCAGGAATAGGAAAAAAACACAGTTCTTGCTTCCCATCCCACAATCTGAACTTGAACACCCCCTCAAATAAGATCTGAACTTGAACAGTCAGGCATCGATGCAAAGACGTTTGAAAACAAGCTGAGCATTTATAAATTAAACCAGCCAGCAATCACAAAGAGAACATCAATCAAAGAATGAACCAGCAACAAGACAAACTGACAATATTACGAGGGAAAGAACAACTCATACATGGAACTCATTGTACACCCTTATTATGAATTGCGTTGTATTCCCTTTCTCTAATTGGCATGCCAAACACAAGGTTTTGATGATAGTTTATAGGTAGATGCTGCTTCCCCTACTACAACAATGGAATTAGAACCAAAAGTGCACCACAGTTAACAACAAAGAAACAGCATGATCATCGTGGAATCCGGTTCACGCCCGACTGATCAAGACCATAACTTCCAGGAAGCGAGGATCCTCCGCCGCCGTGTCGCGCGCGAATGATCAAGGCGACTGCCGCCTTGGCCCCCGGGCATGGTGGTGGATGGGGTCCGGTCCCGTTGGCACCTCCCTCTCGGACTCCGCGCCAAAACCCGTCGTGCTCAGGTCCTCCTCCGCGCCCTGCACGCCGGAGCCGGAGAAAACCCCGGCCAGGAAAGAAACCATCAGAAAAAGAGCCGCCTTTTCTTGACCCTAGCTCGCAGCACGGCGGCGTCTTCTTTTACCTTGGCCACGTCCGCCTTCTCCCGCAAGCCCTGCGCGGTGTCCATCGGCGCCGCCGTCTCGAGCCGTCGCAATGCAGCCGCTGCACCGCCGGCGAGGGAAGGAGCGGGCGAAAGCGTCAGGTTTTGGGGCGGCGGAAGAACCAAGAAACACGGTTTGCGATGCGATGCGATGGACGGGCGTTACGTACCTCCCCGGTAGGACGAGGCGGCGGCGGGCGGCAAGCAGGCCAAGAGCACAGCGACGGCGAGCATGGCGACGACGGCCGCACGAGCCATCCGGCCAGACGCGGCGGCCTCGCGGACGCAGCGGCCAACACGCGCAAGGCGAGGGAAGAGATGGAGGAACAAGAGCCAGGCTTGTCTGCTCCAAAACCCTCTCTCTGCCCCCTGCCGCAGAGTTGGTTTCGCCCGTCTGGTGGTGGGGGGGGGCTCAAACGAAAACCGGGAGGCGCATCGCGTCGCGGGCTCGCGGCGGCAGGTGCTTTGCACCCCTATCCGTGCTACGGTCACGTGCCGCGGATACACGTGGCGAGCATCGGGTGCTCTGATCGCCGGGAGGGCTCTCCTGCTGCGCCGTCGCGGCCAGCGCCGTATGTGGGGGCCCGCGATCCAGAGACGGAGGTGGAGCGGCCCGGGGATTTCTCGCCTTGGCGGCGAGCGAGCGCCGAGCGGCCATCCTCTCTCGCCTCGCTGACGTCAAAGACAGCTGGTGGTCAGAGCCGGCCGTTGGACGATTTTACAGCTTTGCCACCGCTTGGATTCTTTTCCGCTTTTCCGCTTGGGAAATGGTAGAGAGACTCAAAGATTTGAACTTGAAAATGTCTTCAACCTTTTTTTTACCCTCACCCAAAGTGGAACATAGAACTTTTGTACCTTTTTCCCTAATATAAAAAAGAGAACCTTTGTACTTCGAAAAATGACCACTAGCGGGTAGCATCGGAAAAGATCAGCAAGGCTGTGCACGTATCTTCTCCATGAGTGAGGTGGCAGTTGGAGCCATCGCGAGCAACATCACACAAGATGTAGCTTTTTTTTTAAGAACACAAGATATACGTCTTGTTCGCTTGAACTTATTCGGAACAACTTTTCAGCTATGGAACATTATTTTCCTCTCACAATATTTCAGCATAAGCCAAAAGCATCAGGAAAAACTACTTGTGGTTTTTTAATGGAAGTGCCAGAAGCCGGCTCCACCAAGTCTGAACAAAGTGATCAGCAAAGAACAAGGACAAGCGGGAATGTATGTTTGATGTACACATGAATACAGGACAAAATCCTGAAGGGAACAAGCAGCTTTCACAGAAAAGAATAAGTGGGAAAGAGTACAGGTACTTCTAAGGCATGAGCATACGTCCAGACCTTCGCTTTTTATGCTACCACTATAGAGAGGAAAATAGTATGCCAACTACAACTCAAAACGGACAAACACATGGTCAAGGAACACTGCCTTCGAAGGAACACTGCCAGCTCGGAGCAAACAAATGAAAAACCCTGTAATCTTGCAGTATGTTTTAGAGATTCAGAGCAAACAACTTTGTTTTGATTCTTTCTTTCTTTTAAGTAAAGAAAAACTCATTGATCTTTGACAGAAAAACAAAGATCGTTCGATTGACTTCATATCATTGCATTAAGGCAAACTCAGAGTACACACCTGTAGCTTACATTATTTCCAGCCACTTATTGATCATATATCGCTACTATGATCCTAAAACTGTAAAAACAGCAGCAGCAGCTGCTGCTGCAACTCAACCAACCCCCAAAACGAAAAGAAATGCTCAACTGCTATGACGAGGCCTTCCGCTTTTGCTGTCCTACATGGCTACATCCTGTTCATCACGATCTCCTCCTTCATGGCCAGCCGCAGGGCACCGAGGCAGCCGCCGTCGTCGACCCTGACGCCCGGCATGGCCACCGCGCGGCTGCCGACGAACCCATCCTCGCCCACGTGGACCCTGCCAAACTTCACCTCCCCGCCCTCGCCCTCGTACACGTGGCCAAACAGCAGCGCGTCCCGCCCCACGCTTGCACCGCGCTCCAGGTGCACCATCTCCGGGTTCAGCAGCGCGCCCATGGAGTCCACGTACACGCCACCGGACACGGCCACGGATGCGCCCATCGCCCGCATCCACCCAGCGAACAGCACGGACCCGGGAGTAAGCTCCGCGAAGTACTCCGCGGTCGCCGTGCGCACGGCCTGCCAGATCGTGTCCAGGAACACGGGCGGCGACCAGATGTGCACCGTGTCACCGTCGGCCCGCCTGCCAACCAGGGCCCACTTCGCTGCGGCACAGGCACCCATCGCGGCGACGCCTGACATGGCCCAGAAGATGGGCAGAGTCCAGTAGAGTGGCATGCCGGTGGCCGTGGAGGCGAGGAGGCCACGGAGGGGGAGGAAGATGACTAGTCCCACGACGAAGTACGGCAGGAGAGTCTGCAGCAGTGGCTGGCACAGCGTGGCCCAGAGCGCCTGGTACCATGTCCGAGCCAGCGTCACCTTGGTGGCTTGATGGACGTCCGAGCTTGAGCGCGTCGCCGCGATGACCGGACAGCCTGACAAGTCGATCTTGGTGTCTGACTGCTCGAGGAACGCTCGCCACGAGGCCGGCAGTGGCTCGCCATTTCGCACGCGCTGGCAGATCTCGTAGACCAGCGAGCGCCCATGGTCGATGGACGCGCTCTGCTTGCAGGACGTCGCCGAGATCACGTCCACCTCTTGGCACCGCAGGAACGGGTTGAACTCGAGCTTCTCCGTCTCCTCTGCTGGGAGATTGCTGCCAATGCTTATCTCTCCGACTTCGATGTACGGGAACTCGGCCTCGTCCCAAGGCCGTGTGCAGTCTAGAGCGATGTCGCGAGCGGCGCTGTCAGCAGGGACATCCCTGAGCTGCAGCTGGAAGACATAGCGCACCCCCTCGGGAGACTGCACCTTCCGGCGGAAGTCGTCAGCGAGGAAGAGCAGCGGGCGTGTGTCACCCTCGTCCCTCGCGATCGCACCAGTTTCCGGTGGCAGGATGCCACGCGGCACCACTTGGCCGGAGTCCTCCGAGATGCCTTGGTCCGCAGGACGAAGCTTGAACTTTGCGTACATCTGCCTACCGTCCTCGAACCGCAGCAGCCGGCATATGTTTGAGTAGTAATGAAGCATGGTGTACGAGTCGGTGTTCCGCAACGAGCCCCAGACGGCGTCGCGGATGTGCGGTGCACGCTTCACTTGCTCTTCCCTCGCCGGCAGGCCACAGACAAGCCAGGTGGCGAAGTCGGCGATTGTGCGCGCGTAGAACGCCTTTCCACTCTTCAGTGTGAGGTCAAGAAGAGGCACCTCGCCGTCATCCGAGAGGATCCGCACTGCTGCGCCACGAGCGTCGAGCCTTGCGTCGTCATCTGCGCTGAGGCTGTTGCTGTGCCGGACAATCACCGGGAAAGACTTGCCGGCGCCAAATATCTTGTGCTTGGGCAGCGAAGGTATATCTTGGTACATCCTCAGGACCCCCCGCCCGCTGACGCCAATGCGGTGGAAGTATCTTGACTTGACGTTCATGGTAGTGATGGCCAGGTTCGCCGCAAGGTTCCCAACAATCTTCTTATACATCGGGTCCATCTCTGCAATCCGTTCATCTTCTGTGAGCAAGGTGTTCTTCACCAAGGTCAGAGACTGCGCCCCGACATAGACGCCACCTTGAAGGAGAACCGAACCCTGTGGGGCGACAGATAGTGCTCCCAGGATGACATTCTCTTGGAGGACAGAGCCAGGAAGGAGCAAGCTGCCACTGCCAACCACAGTGTTGTCCTGGACCTTAATCTCTGCACTGGTAAACCCCTTTGAGTAGAACCCTGGAACAATATTGCAGAAATCACCTAGATGGACCCCATCACCAATGCTGATCAGCTGAGGATTTGCCACCGGATTGATGGCTCGGATAGAGCAATGCCTGCCAATCTTTGCTCCAAGAAGCCTCAAGTACATGCAGAAGGCTTATGTACCCGATATCATCTTTGCAAATCTGAGGTGTGCGGCGATGGTTATGCGCTGCTGGATCAAACTTGCCATATCCTTCTTCTTGGTCCCTGACCTTGTAGCAAGAGCTTTGTTGGTGACACTGGTGAGAAGACTAACAATGATCCCATAACTTAAGTAGGCGAAGGCAATGAAGAGAGCAAATTCCACTGGGCTCTTGGTTGTCTCCTGGACAATCACAGCATAAGCGGCAATGACAGCTGGCAACCAATGGAAAGCACCAGCAACACATGCAAAGGAGAAGTGCTGAAGCGAAGCCGTGGTGCCTGAAAAGTGGGTGTACAACATGAAGACTGTTGCACCTGATAAAGCACCCAAGAAGCCAACTGCATAGATGCTAACGAGGTGTTCAAATGCCATGTTTGCTGTCCCTGCTTCGTCCTGAAAAAAGAGTAGATGGTCAAAATTCGAATGATAACACAACAAAATCATTCTTTAGTTGTAGTATATATCATTACATAAATATGAGAGTGGTGCTGGAAAATGGCAAAGCATGTTTCCAACACGCCAACACGCAAACGAGAATTTCCAATATCATCAGACGATGAGCTAAGAAAAACAGAGGAAAAAAATCATTTGCGCACAATCTTTTCTAGGCCTCCCTTGTAATTTTTTTTCTGTCGCTTCCTATGTCTAAAAAATATTACCTCTAATTGTAGTACTAGACTGTAGGCAACTCAATTGCCAGTAACTTCATCAGTGAACAAGAGGTGAATGAAGGTTCACAAATCTATGTATGTAGGTGTATTTCTGTAGTTCACTAACTTCAAAGCCTAAAAATAACCAACTCAAATTCTATTTGTTTTATGCCTTAAGATCTTAGGTGATTAGCAATTTAGCACAAGAACTTAAGTGTATAAATTCAAATATTTCTAGCTACCTTCATGTACGCAGAAGCTCCGCTAGGAGGATATGCTGATTTCGCTTGCTCAGTCTTTTGCAATGGTGGAACGACAGCGCCACCATGCACAACAGTTCCCTTCTGGATCACCGCATAAGGGCCAATTGATGCCTTCTGACCAATCTTGATATGCCTGAAACTCAGCACTTCATTACGGACTTCATGGCTCTGAATGAGAACACCTTCTGCGATCACTGCACCATCTGCGACTGCTAGTAAGGATGGGTCAGTGATGTCTACCGTATCAATGACAACATGTGAACCAATCCGAGCTCCTTGCATCTTGAACCAATAATTCAAGAAGACTGTGCCCTTTAGATGCACAGCTAGCATCTTTGCTGCTAATGATTGTGCCTTGTTTAGTGCCCACCATTTCACAAAGTCAACCGACCATATCGAAATATCAGGGGTTAAAACATAATTTGGCTGAAGGAATGGCTTCCCCAAGGTAGACAGGGATAATGAAGTGAACAAGGCATAGCAGATCCATGCAATAGGTGCCAAGACCAAAGAACTAAGATAGCTCAGTAGTGATGATTTCACCAGACTGACTGAAGATATGCTCATGTACATCGAGCTTGCGAGATATGCTGGGAGTAGCAGGATAAAACAGACATAAGTAAGAGCCAGGAGTTGGAGGGTCCCAGTAGCAAACACGCTAAGATCTAAACTAGTGGCATCTGTGATAACTAGATTCTCATCTTCAGCGGAGTGAGATACATCAGGTTCTAACTGTGGTTGTGACTTGCGCGCCAAATTCTCCAAGAAGCTGGCAAGCTCAGCAATACCGCTTGCTGTAAAAATGTCAATGGCTCCAACAGGAATACCAAGAAAATCTGAGAGCTTCTGAGCAGCTCGGACCACTGCAATTGAATCAAAACCGTAAGAAGGTAGACTATCAGTTGGAGAAATTTTGTCCTTTGGAATGCCTGCTTGATCTGATACTATCTGTGTTAGAAACTCAATAATCTCACTGGACCTTTTCACTTTGCTTCTAGGCTGAGGTGCCAGCTGTGGTTGTGACTTAAGCACCAGATTCTCCAAGGAGTTAGCAAGCTCTGAAATGCTGCTCGCAGTAAAGATGTCAATTGCTCCAACAGGTGTACCAAGAAAATCTGAGAGCTTTTGTGCTGCTCGGACCACTGCAATCGAGTCAAAACCATAAGAAGGTAGGCTGTCATTTGGGGAAATTTTATCCTTTGAAATACCTGTTCGATCAGATACTAACTGCGTTAAAAACTCAACAATCTCCATGAATTTTTTCACTTTGCTTCTAGGCTGAGGGTGAATGGTAGGATCAACAGCGTGCTTCAAGAAAGGTCTCCTGATTTCCATGCCAGTTCCTGTAGTGAGAGACCGAAAAAGAGACTTCTTGTTAGATATATGATTACCACTTGCTAAGCTAAGAGTATTATCAACAAATTGCTTCATGCATTCAAATCTCCGTATTTTCCCAGATGTTGTCTTGGATATGGTTCTAGGCTTGATAAGCTTGATAGATGCAATAGTTACACCATGCTCCTCGGCTACATGTGTTCTGATGCTGTCTGCAATCTCTTCAGAGGCTACTTTACCCTCCCTAACCTCAGCGATCACGACAAGTCCAACCTGATCAGAAGAATCAGGGATTGAGATGCCTTTCTGGGTTAAAACTTCCTCAGGAACACCAACAACAGCACAACAGCCTGGTCGAAGAACATCAGAAGAACCTTCCACTGTCTTCTCTACATCTGCAGAATAAATATTTCTACCAGCAACAATGATAAGATCTTTGATCCTTCCTGTAATAAAAAGTTTACCATCAATGATCCGTCCTAAATCACCAGTTCTTGTAAACTTTATGTTAGGGTAATTCTTGAGACAATTGCAAAAGGTTCTCTGGCTTGTTTCCTTATTGTTCCAATAACCAACTCCAGAACTAGAACTGCTGATCCATATCTCACCCTCAGCACCATCCTCTTGATGCTCTGTCAAAGAGTCTGGATCAACAATTTTGATCACAACATCTGCATCATTTGGATCAACATACCCACAACATATTCTTCCCTGCCAGTCTATAAAAATGGGCTTGCATTCACCAAAAGCACAGCTAACATAGACACAATTCTCAGCCAGGCCATATCCAGGAGCAAGTACACCTTCAGAAAAGCCCAAAGGTTGAGTCAACTCTATGAACCTTTTGACAGTTTTTTGCCTCACTGGCTCTGCGGCAATCATGAGGAAGATCATTGAAGAGAGGTCATACATTTTGTTTTTCTCAGCCTCAAGCCGTCTTGTAACCAATTCAAATGCAAAGTTTGGCCCTGCACTGTGTGTTCCATGGTAGTCACTTATTGTTTTGAGCCATAGGAGGGGTTTCTGATAAATGTCATTGGTGAAAATAGAATGGAAGTTCCTCCACTTACAAGAGTAGTGAAAAGACCCCTATTAGACCCATGTCATGGTACTGTGGAAGCCAACTGATAAGGACAGTTTTGAAGTACTTCTATATCGCTCCTTCATCATCTTCGCATTGTGGATTAGTCCACCATGTGTTATCATCACACCCTTGGCGTCACCAGTGGAACCTGAAGTGAATTGTAGAAAGCACAACTCACTTGGCTGGGGCTTGGTAATCATAGGCACAACACTTTCTGAGTTGAAACTGTCTGGACTTCGTCGATAGTTCTTAATCCATGAGTCAGTGTGAATCCATGGGAGGTCAGGCCACTGAGCTGAGAATTTCTGAGCACTCTTTGCTAGAGTGACAATATTCTTGATATAGCCTGCACGTACAACAGCATGGTATGAAGAGGTGGATAGAATTGCCACAGCATTGCACACCTTAGAGACATTCTCAACTTTCAGAAGTGCTTGCCCACCCCTTTGCATTGGGTCAGGGGGCAAAACTGGGACTGGTATAACTCCTGCTCTGATGCATCCAAAGAATGCATCAACAAACTCCAAACCAGGTAGATGAATAAGAAGAACTCTGTCACCAGGCTTGATAATAGGCTTTGTGCTTGTCAATAGCCTATATGCAATGTAAGATGCATTATCATGAAGCTCCTGGTAGGTTCTACGATTCACGATCTTCCCTTCTTCGTTGATCCAAGTGTAGATAACCTTCTCTGCAGTGACTCTATGAGTTCCCCAGTATTGTAAATATCCATCCAGGGATGGAAGATGGGGGAATTCAACTCCTTCAAGCTCACCAATATGTCTAGGAGGTGAAGGATTTCCTTTGGATAGAGGAAAAAGTCTCTGCATATTTACAAACATAAGCATAATTACTTTAGGTAATAGAAGTTGAAATGATACTTGAAGTATATCAGGACAGTATTTCTGGCTCACCTTAACATAAGGAACCATTGGTATCTCACTGGCAATGGCAAAGTGTTTACAAACAGCTGAGATGGAGTATAACGCATTTCTTTCAGTTAGCTCAAACGCTAGCAGACCTCCAACAAAGTAAGTGTTCTGAAAGCCTTGCAACTGAGACTCCACCTTCTCGTAGAATCCATTTTTCATGTCTGCAATGCAAGGAATCATTATTGTTGGAATGCATAATTGAATTATTTGATAATCAGAAGCAACCCTGTCAACCTATACCTTCACTGCTGACATGAGGGAAATATTTGAATCGCCGCTGTAAAAGCACTCTCTGCACAGTTCCTCCCATAGATGTCACAACATTGGTTACACATTTAGCCACATATGACTCCTTGATGTCTACTGAATTCCCATAAGACCAGAACAAGAAAATATTTGTGTCAGCAAAGAATCTTTGCATTGCCACTGGATGCCCTACTGTTGTTGGATCCTCCATGTATTCCCCAAAGTAGAAAAAGCCCTTTGGCATGTGCTGAAATCCTTCAATCTTAACAACAGTTGTATAGTAGTCAATCGTCCGTACCTTACTGAATAGCTCTCTTTCAAGATCATTCAGTTCTACCACTTCATTTTCTCCATCTGAAAAATGGCATATATATCTTCAGATGGCTGGAGTACTAGCTTCAATCAAACGAAAGGTGAATTTAAATCATACTTACCAGTCATACTCAAAGATCGATATGTTTTCCCATTCTTGAAAGGAAGAGCACCTGACAATATAATTTTATCAAACTCCCTAACTTCTACATCATCATTGATATTCTTGATGGTTACACTTGCGACACAGTTGTCACGCTTGACTCTGAGAACCTCCGTGCCACAAAGAATTTCAAATGGTAATGAACGACTAAGTTTCTCCCACAAGCTCATGTAACCATGCTTGAAACGTCGGATCTTGCCAGCCATAGAGGTTCTAGTAAACTCATGTATGAAAGCATAGGGCATGTCTTGAACAAAACCATAGCCAGAAGCAGTGTAACCATATACTACAGATTTTGGCATTGAACTTATTCCATGCTGCTTCAAAAAGTCAAGAGTTGGATCTGAGGCCAATCCACTAACTGCATGAATTCCCACTCGTCCAGACCTATTTGCCTCGTCCTATAAAATGTATCAAAGAACATACATGTGAGAAACAGAAAGAAATGCTATCCAATAGTAAAGTAGACCAAACCATTAGTTATTAGCACTGAAAATCATATTCCTTTTGACCGATTTATAACTAGTCCAAATTATTCTAGAAAAACTTGCCTGTAATTTTAGCGTTAGAGATACCATGGATACATAGTCCTCAGCAACTTCAAGATCTCTAATGTTTCCTGTTTGGCTGTCAATCAGAGCAAGCTTGTGTGTATCCATTTCTTCAAATTCAGAGCCTAGTTCCTTTGCCAGGTGAGTTATAACAGGGGCACTGTTTGCTGCTATAACTTGTCCTCCCAGATCATATGTCCTTCCTGAATAACAATGCCATTGATAAGTAAATACACAGATGTCGAAACAATTGAATAAGAGTGCATTAATCAAGTTCCTCACCCTCAATATCAATGGACTCGCACATCCCTGAAACATTATGGCATTTCTCAAACACAGTTACATTGTGATATCCTAGCTTAGCTAGTGCAAACGCTGCTGATAAGCCGCTTGGCCCTGCTCCAACTATGCCAATTCTGGTGTCTACTGGCAAACTTGGATGCAACTTGCTGAATTTATCATCTATTGATTTTCCTGGATCCATATTTGACTTATTGTCGATCTTGATAAATCACCTGTGGAATTTATATGGAGAAAAAACTCCGTTAGGACCTTTTGACATTCATTTTTGTGGCATCCACAAATGAACAGAGGAAATGAACAAGCTAAATTCCCTTCCTCTTAACGAATTATTTCTTCCAAACTATAACTTCAGGATATGTCAGCTCCTATTTTAATTAACATATCAAGTAGCCACTAGGAGGTTGTAGTTTTGCTTCCTCATATGAAATGTCTATCATATGATACTAATTAGAAAATAGAAATGTTACTGCTTAGAAAACTAGCTTGTTGACCAACATGTAATTGCTAGATAATTATTGTGAAGTGGTTGTGGTGTCACTTTAATATGACATTATGATTAGCAAGATGAGAAAACTATTTGACCATGTGCTGCAAACCACGAAGCCAAAGTAACAAGCAGATACATCATCAAATTGTACTATCAAAAACAACATCAAGCACCATAATGTACTAGCTCATATGATATGGTGCAATTAGTCTATGATAACTGTCAAGGGTTCTAGAAGGTGGATCGGCATCGTAAAAGAAGACGTCAAATGGAATTGAGCTTCGTGTACTTATTTGACACGTGTAGCCATACCAAATATGAACCTAACCATGGTGTTGTTCTGACTAAATATTCCACGCTCATCTCTATTCAGACACCTTCAGCAAGACAGAGCTTTACTCGATTCAACGGTATAAAAACGGACTGCCTGGGAAGAACATGAAAGACCTGAACAAGGTATCACACATGCCATGTACTGATATACAGCACTTGCATATTACATTACTATGGGATTGCACATTTGCAACCATGGGCCAAGCAGCCCCGATCCCAGATAACGAAATTATTATTTTGATTGAGGAAACCGGATGATGATATTGTCGTAAAAATAAACCCAGAATAAGTCTTAAAAAAATGAGACGAAATACTTACTGAACAAAATTAAGAAATAATCCTAGAAGCCATGTGGTAGGCACCTGCGATCGCATCACATCCCCAGGTGCCAGAGCAGAAGCGAATAACAAGCACCCACACAGGCTCACATAGGAAGCACAATGCTATAGCAAATATAGCAAGGAGGGATGGAGCAGGGTCATGTCTCGTCGAGGGCGGAAGAGCGGAGACTGAGCCGTACCTCTCCTCCGGGCGGCGGGTGCACTACCCGGCACCCCGGGCGGGTGGCGAGGAAGCGCGGCGCGCGGTTGGCGCCAAAAGGCAGCCCCGGTTAGGGAAAGGGCGTCGTCGTCCGGTGCCTGGTGGTGGGGGTGACCTCAGGGCGGGCGGGAGTATTTAAGCCCGCGCAGATTCCCCCGTGGCGCCAAGGACGTCTTGACAAAGGGGACGCGGGCCGCGCGCCGTGAGTCCGTGACCCGGCGGCGATGGCGACCTCGCGGTCGCGGAGTTACGGCCAAGGGGACCGGCGGGCATATTCGTGGTGAAACCCCCGCCCCCAACGGAACTTACCGGCCGCACGGCCGGTGCAAGGTTGTGGCCTCCGCCGGGAAGGTGTGTGGTTGGTTGTTTTCTCGGCAACGGGTGGGGAAATGACAGTGGCGCCACTGTACAATATATTTGGTCGGATGGTTCGAGGGGGGTGAGATGGGGTCATTTTCTATACAGTTTGGATGGGATGGTTCGAGGTTGGTTCATCGACAACCCATACGAGGATGGGATATTGCTTAAAAGAAGGGGAATTATCTTTGTGCCACTAAAAAAGATCACAATGTTTTATGTACTTCTGAAAAAGTTTAGTGGTCTTGACGTCGTCCTTTATTCTAACTTTTTGTGCCCTCCATACCATCTGCGTCGGTTTAGGTTCTAGCCGTCGTCAAGCTGCAGTGTGAAAAAGTCAAAAATACCCTTAAGTCTAAATATGTCATTAATTTTTTTGAGCATCTTGACGACTTCAAATGAAAAACTCAAAACTAGAAAGTTGTAGATCTCGTCGAGATTTATAATTTTCATATAAAAATTATCTTCATTTAATTCCACAAAAAAATATGATTTGATATGATTAATATATCTTAGAAAAATCATTTTTTTGCGGAATTAAATGAAGATAATTTTATATGAAAATTATAGATCTCGACGAGATCTACAACTTTCTAGTTTTGAGTTTTTTCATTTGAAGTCGTTAAGATGCTCAAAAAATTAATGACATATTTAGACTTAAGGGTATTTTGACTATTCACACTGCAAATTGACGGCGACGTTAGTAGAGCCCAAACCGACGGCAAAAGGGTATGGAGGGCACAAAAAGTTGGAGCAATGATGTCAAGACCGCTGAACTTTTCCAGGCACGCATGACATTGCGATCTTTTTTAACAAAGACACAAGGAATTCTCCCCCAAAAAAACAACCGGACCGGGCGGCGTTGTTCCGCTTCGCCCTCATGGCTCACGTAGCACATGACGTGAGGCGCTGAGACCCCGGTCACCACCCACCCCCAAATCGCTGACCTCCTCGTCCGCTCCCCGTCCGGGCAAGACTTGGATCTCGGCGGCGAATCGGCGATTGCCCCATCGCGTCCGCTCATCATTCGGAGCGAGCAGGTCGGCACCGTCCGCTCTCTCCTCTCCAGCTTTCCTTCTGCGTGTGTTGAACATCATCTCCTCCGTCGAGCGTGATTGGCTGCTCGGCAGTGAAAATGGTACGGATATTTTCTGACCGTATTTAAGATCAAAGCCGTTTAAAAGAGTTTAGATATGTTCGTATTCAAGGCCGGAGGTTCAATATCTGATACCGTATCCGTATCTAAATACTCAAATCGCATATTTATGATATCGATACCCAATCCTATTCTATCCGACATAGCTTATGCTATCCATATTTCAATCCAAATCCGAACATAAATATAAAAACAAATATAATATCGGCCGTCAGTATCCAATCTATTTTCATACATGCTTGGCATCGGCTCCTTAGGAGGTGGTATGCCTCATCTCACGGGGATATAGGGGATATACGGTGAATGCAGATTTTTTTACTCGAAAAAATGTGTGGACTAGATTTTTTTCTTGGTACGGATCTGATTATTCACGTAGGGCAGTAGGCTAATAGCCTAATACTGGTGAAAAGTTGAAAACTAAGTACTCCCTCCATGTTCCTAGAGACAGTCATTTTAAGATTATCTTAAGTCAAATATTTTAAACTTTGACTATAAATAAAATTTTTTAGGTTGAGTTTGAAAATTTGAAAGTGGTGTAAGTAGATTGGAGACTAAACGAACATGCCCTACGTCAACTATGAATTATGTTTAGATTTTTGTAACAAATAACAACCGATTACACACCAACTATAGAAAAAAATAGGTTGATTATTGTAAGAATGACCTTTGTTGTAAGTTTTTATTTGTGCAATTAATATAGAGATCACAGCTCAGCTCAGCTCGCTCACTCATTGTCAATAACTAAAATCATTAGCACGAATAGCGTGTGTCGTTGGCCTGTTGGGAGTCAGGACTCTTTGTTCTTTGCTCTGTCCTGATGATCATATCGGCGTGCACCGGACAAAGGGTCTTTGTAGTCCTGTTTTCGCACTGCTCCTGTGCTTTCGAAGTTTCAATCATTAAATTCTTACAGTATATATATGTGTGTCATATATCATTTTCATTGTACTAAGCTATAGCGCTTTTGTACATAAAGTATATAACAACCCAGGCACACGAGTACGGGAGTACGTCTTTTTTACGGTATATGACATTGTTTAACAAAGATGTTCTGGATTAACGCCGTAGAAGAATTTACAACAAAAAAGAAATTTTTGTTGATGATATTATATATTAAGAAAAAGAGAAATTTTGTTGGGTCAGATCTTGGTACACACGGACAGATTAGCTACAACCTAAAGGTAATGCAAATGCGTCGAAGTATGGTTTGTCGCATCAATCCCTGGATATTCCAAAGAAGACTGAGCATACCAAAGGGGTGCCATGTAATACGAAATTACACTAACGAAGATTACTAAGACCACTGCAAACGTATACAAAGTAAAGCATAAATATAACCTAAAGAGACATCGTGAAATCAGAAGTGCTAACAAGAGTACAAACTATATCCTAGTTAGTGGCAAGGCGTTGCTGATTGCATTGAACGTACGCCATACGCTACTGAATACTCCGTAGTGTGTGTGTATATATATATATATACTGAACTGCCGGAAGAAAAACTACGGAACCAGCTATAATGACTCTGTTCGCTTTGCTGAAAAGCCATGACTGAAAGTACTGTTCGTTGATTTGTTGTGAGAGAAAAACACAATTCGTTCACGCGCGGCTTCAATAAAGAGAAGCAGATCTTATTATTAATTATTGAGTTCTAGTATGCTAACGCTACGGGTCATATTAAGTCCAAAGTAGATTTACAGTAGGAGAGCAAGATCTGTGTAAAAAAAGGAGAGCAACAAAATTTATACTCGAGCTTCTTAGCTAGCTAGGCCTCGAAATCTTCTTCACGTGTTCTGCGAACACAAGGTTGACAAGTACCCTTGTGTGTTCGTTTTGTGATGAATGATTGTCAATGTGATCCACGGAATAGGTTGAGTCGGTTACTAACTCTACCATGGCGAAAGCTATGTGTGCATGTCTCTTGGCTCGTGGTGTGTAGGTGTGGAGCACGGAGGCGGTAGTTGACGGCGAGGTGAAGGTCAAGGAGGCCGTGCCGTGCCGACGAACCGAGAGCGGTGAAGGACAGACGTGAGGCTTGGACCGAGGGACCGTGAGGCCGGACGACTAGCCGCGGTGGCTGACACTTGGAACATCAACAAGTGCAAGAAGACATGGAGTGACGGTGTTGACCGGGTCAAGACGGCGGACGCGTGAGTCGAGCGAGGCTCAGGAGGACTTGGCGGGCCGGCCGGTCGAGGACGGTGGTGACACACGTCGGATGGCGGGGAACGCGTATGAAGTACGCTACCCGCGGACGGTTTACGGGTTTGGGCCTCAAAACCCGGGCGGAGGTTCCGAGGAGGGACGGACG